TCGCTTGTTTCACCGGGGCGCCCGCGCTGGAGAAAAGGCTTTTTTTGGGACACGATGCTCTGTAAACCATGGCTGGAGCAAAAAGGGGCCCCAAGCCATGGGCTGGCTGGTGGCCGTCCCCTGTCACCCTTCATTTCAGCTGCAAACCACCCCAATCTCTCCCTCTTTTTTAGCCAGGACTGCAAAAATCCTCATTTCTGCAAAAAAAATTGGAGTTTTTTTCCCCGCACACGGTGAAGGGACGGTCCTACCTGACGTTCTCGTGGCGGTACATGTACATGGTGTTGAACTGCTGCATCTCCTTCTGGCTTGGGTCCTTCTTCATGTCCTTCAGCATCTCATCGGCCACGTGCTTGGGCAGGATGGAGAGCATCAGCCGCTCCTGGAGGACGGGGCAGGGAAGGGGGGTTCACCACCACACAAAGCCAAGCGCAGCAACGCATGGCGCAAATCCACAGTGCAAATCCACGGTGCAAATGTGCGGTGCAAATGCTCAGTCTAAATGCACGGTGCAAATGCACAGTTTGAATGCACGACGCAAATGCATGGTGCAAATGCATGGTGCAAATGCACGATGCAAATACACGGTGCAAATGCTCAGTCTAAATGCATGGTGCAAATGCACAGTTTGAATGCACAATGCAAATGCATGGTGCAAATGCACGATGCAAATGCATGGTGCGAATAAATGGTGCAAATGCACTGTGCAAAGGCATGGTGCAAATGCACCGTCTAAGTGCATGGTAGAAATGCATGGTACAAGCACGTGGTGCAAACGTACAGTTTACATGCACGGTGCAAATGCACTGCCTAAATGCAGGGGGCAAACGCACGGTGCGTGCGCTATGGTCTGAGCGCTCCCCTCTCCGTGGGGACAGAGAGGAGCAAAGTGACATTTCCAAGCTCCTGGGCCCTCGCTGCTGTACCTGGCCATCCCCAGAGGATCCCAGGGCCCAGCCAGGTCTTGAGCCCGACCTGAGGTGGGGAAGGAGCTGGTGGATGAAGCTGTGGGTGAAACAGAAGCTTTTCCTCCAGGCAGGGAGACGAAGCTCGGAGCGGGGTGTCCCAGGCACCCCGGGGAGCTGGGAGCCGTCACCCCGACGCCAAACCTGCACCCACAGGTGGAGGGGATGGACCCAGGGGTGGCAGGTCCCCCTTGGTGGTGCTCTGCCAGGGGTGCCAGCCGCTGCTTTTACCATTTTCCTCCCTATTTTACAAGTTCTTTACCAAGATTTTTGCACGTGGGACTAAATCCCAGCCAGGGGAAGAGGGGAGGTGGCAGTCTGGGGGCACTGCAGCCACCAACCTCCCTGTCCCCACAGCCGGGGGAGGAGGGACAGTCCCACACACTTATTTGGACACCGGCTGATGAGCTGCAAAATTTGCTTGTGCATCCCAAATCCCTTCTGCGGGCGCGATACGGAGCCCAGCCCCTCACTGGGAGGCTGAGAATTAAAACGCATTGGGTTGGCCAAGGTTTTCTCAGCGCAAATAAACCTGGGACACGGTGCTGGGAGCGACCTCAGGGCCTGCACCGATGTCCCCCAAGGTCCCTGCGAGCTGCCCCAGGGCGTCCTGCCCCGAGAACCGGTCGGGGCTGGGGGGATGGACCTGGGTTAAACCACGCCAGGGAGGACTGAGCAATTTCGGTACCCCACATCCATGCGTAGCACTCGACCGAAGTCCCCCAGGAGGATCAAGCCCACCTGGGGACATCGCACCCACTGCTGTCCCCGCTGGCCCTGCAGCCTGGGGGCCGGAGAAGGGATAGATCTGCCCAGCTCTCCGTGGGGATTTGCATTCAACATAAGTAACTCGGTTAATGAAGTGAGTTTTCCCCTGGGACGGGGGGGGTTCTGTGCGCAGCCGCGGCGGGGCCGTTGCTGGAGGAATGGCACCATGTCCCCGTCCCCAGGGGCTGCTGATGGGGAGGCCTGTGGGAGCTCCCCGGCTCCTCTCGGCTCCCGTTACCCTTAGCTCTGCCCACGGGGCCGCCGGCTCAGCCACCGCAGATGGCCTGGAGGGAGGAGGGACGGATCCGGCCGCCAGCATCGCTCCCTGCCCAGCGGCCCCCCTGCCCTGAGCCGCTCGGCCTCACACTAGCAGCCTTTCCTGCAAGATCACAGGCTATTTTTAGCTCAATTCCCTAAGGAAACAGAGCTCGTGATAATAATCCCCATGTCCCTTCCCATACCTCTCCGAAGCCACGAGCTGGGGCCTCAAAGGCGCTCTCACTCGGAGCATCTCCCAGCCCCAGGATTTGCCCCCATCACCCAAACCCCTCCCTGGCCCTAACTCCTTATTAGACATCAGAGCATCCACCCAGGTTTTGCAGCAAAGAGGACGCCGGTGGCACTGGCTCGGCCCCACCACGTGTTTCTTGTTGCCATTGGGAGCAAATTGCTGGCAGCGGATCAAGCAGATAAGAGATGGGAGATGGGGAGAGAGGCCCCAGATAAGGCACTAAAATTAGCCCAGCTCATCACCGGCCAGCAGCTGGAGACAACAGGGCTCTGAAACAGCGTGGCTGGCACCACGACGCCTGTTCCCCTCCGACCGCTCCTCTTGCGGTGCTGGCACAGCCGCGTGCGTGGGGCTCTGCCGTGGCGGGCATGGCTGATGGGATGAGAGGAGAGCGGCCGGTTGTGCTTGCTGGCTGCCAGCTCTCCCTTCCCCGTCACGGTCCGCTGCAGGAGCAGCCCACGAGATGGCCGGGGGCCTGATGGGGACCTGCTGCGTGGCTGTGTCTGGGGATGGGGACCTGCCATGTGGATGTGCCAGGGGACAGGGACATGCTGCATGGCTGTGCCCAATGACAGGGACCTGCCGTATGGCCGTGTCTGGGGATGGGGACCTGCTGCATGGCCCTGCCTGGGGACAGGGACCTGCTGCGTGGCCATGCCTGGGGATGAGGACCTGCTGCATGGCCCTGCCTGGGGACAGGGACCTGCTGCATGGCCACAGCTGAGAATCTGCCACGTGGCTGCGCACAGGGATGGGCACCAGCCACATGGTCGTGTGTGGGGACAGGGACCTGCCACATGGTCATGCCTGGGGACGGGGACCTGCTGTGCGGCTGTGCCCAGGGACACGCTGCATGGCTGTGTCTGGGGACCTGCCACGCAGGCATGCACAGGGCTGGGGACCCGCCACGTGGCCGTGCATGGGGACGGGGAATGGCTGCGTGGCCACGCCTGAGGATGGGGACCTGCCACGTGGCTGCGCCTGGGGACCTGCAACATGACCGTGCACGGCGATGGGGACCTGCCACGTGGCTCTGCCCAGGGACCTGCCACGTGGCTGCACCTGAGGACCTGCTGCATGGCTGTGCTCAGGGATGGGGACAGCTTGGTGGTGGCCATGGCAGGAGCTGGGAGGCTCTGGAAGAGGACGGCCACGCAGAGAGTCCCCAAATTGAGCACAGGGTGCAAGGTTGCAAATGCATTTCCCACTTTCAGTCCTCCTGTCCCCATCGCCACCCGCCACCGTCCCTCCGCACCGGGCAGGGTGCAGACTGTGGGTGCCTTATCCGTGTCCCAAAGCCACAGCGGTGTCCCATCGTCATCCCTTGTCCCCACGCTGTCCCCTTGCCCGGCCTTTGCTACTACCTGCTGCTGGCTCTGCTCCTCCAGGTTGAGCTTGACCTCGAGGGACTGGCGCGCTTCGAGGAAGGCTTTGCGGTGCTTGCGGTCGGCCATGTAGTACGACATGATGCCCACCGTGATGGCGCAAAGGTAGATGGCAACGTTGGACAGGATCTTTGGGGACAGAGAAAAGGAGACGGGGGTGAGCAGAGCCACGGGGAAGCCCCTGCGCGCCCCAGGGATGGCATCGGTCTCACCGCAAGTCCCTGTTTGGGCAGCAGAGCCTGACAGATGAGAGTGGAAAAAAATATTCAGATGCTGGAGGAGGGCATAAAATCCAGCCTAGGGATAAGTCACCAAGCCACGGCCACCGTTAACTGCGGGGGGGACTCACTGGGGACCGGGGGGACTGTCACCGTGGCTCCGCAGGAGGGGTCCGGCCGCGGACCACGCCTTGAGCATCCTGGGAGACCTCGTGGTCCCCGTGGGCTGACGCCGCTTCATTAAAACTTGCCGAGATGTTTTGGAAAAAGGCAGCAGGTCGGCAGGGGCTGGGGGCAGCCCCGGGGAAGGCGCTGCTGAAGGCGGGCGGCTCACATGCCATCCGCTCCCCTCCCCCGCCACGGGAATTGCACCTCTTTCTGCAGAAAACGTTAATAAAAACACAGCCAAACCCTAAAATCATGTACTTACTTGTGCTCCTGCCCCTCTACATCCCTCTCAATGGCCAAAAATACGGGTGTCAGCCTGCGGCACCGGAGATGGATGCCCCTGGGTGTTGCTGGCTGTGACAACCCACCCTGTTTTCTTTGGGATTTCAAGGGAGCATGGGATGGAGGCTCGCTGCCTTGTCCCCAGGGCTGGATCCTGTCCCCATGGGCAGGATCTTGTCCCATCCCACGGGCTGGATCCCAGCTCCATGGGCTGGACCTCATCCTCCGGGCTGGATCCTGTCCCCATGGGCAGGACCCATCCCATCGCACGGGCTGGACCCCGTCCCCACAGCCTGGGAGGGGAGGGAGCAGGTTTGCCGATGGAAGCAAAGAGCCCTTTGTGGAAAAAATACACCTGATGAAGGGAAGTTGAAAGAATTCAGTTTGTTTAGTCTAGAAAGGGGAAGAGCAACAGGGAGGAGGTGATAACAGGCTCCAGCTATGCCAAAGGGGCGATGGGGACATGGAGACGTCCTCCCACCCTGCGGGCCATGGGCTGTCACAGCCGGCGTGGAGGAGGCAGCGCAAAGAGCACGGAGCCGTCCCCGGCCTTGTCTCCATCGGGGATGTGCCACCATGCTCAGCATCCTTCTCCCAATCCCGTTGGCACCATCCTGGGGTGGACAAAATGATTTGCAACACGGAAAAACTTTTTTTGGGGGAGAAAGAGCATGAGGAGCAGGGGAGAGCACCTGGGACCCCCCGTTGATGCCCCAGGGCCGGATCCTGCCCCAGGCCCGGCCGCCGCAGCTGGGGGATCCCCGGGAAGCCCCTGCACCCGTGGCGCAGCAGACGGCGAGCGAGGATCCGTCTGGAAGTGGGCACGGAGAAGAAACCCCCAAAACAAGCAGCTACTTGCTATTTTTAACCAGATTCTCAAGTTGTCATGACAACGGACCACTCTACTGCGGCTGGATGGGCACGGGGCAGCTTGGCACAGCGGGACCACCGAAAATCCTGGCACCGCATAGCACAGCTGCGTCCCACGCCAGGCATCTTCTGGCTCCATCCTGCAGCTGTGCAATGGATGCTCAGTCCCCAGAAACCTCTCCCAGCACAGCCCGAGCCGCAAAACACCTCCTGGCACCCCAAACGCCGCGGGGAAAGCCCCGATACAGCGGAGCCCCTGCTCCGGCACCGTCACCAGTTATTATTTGCACTCAGTAATTTGGGAGCAGTGAGAGCAAGACATGCGCAGGAGCATGCGTGGCTGGTGGAATGAGCCTTAGCCCTCCTTCCCCATCCAGCCCCATCCGTGTCCTGCAAGAAAGGTCCCGGTGGGATGCACCGGCGCCATCCGAACCGGGAATGGGTCATCGGCCGAGCCCAAGGATGCTTCGCAGCTGATTTGCGCACAACTGCGGCAGATATGGCCCCAAATGCTGCCAAACCCCGACCCCCTGCCATGATTCAGCCTTTGGGCTCCTCCTCGAGGGCCGGCAGCGGGGCAGAAGCCGCCGGCATCTCTCGTGAACCCCGCCGGGCTGCGCCGGCCCCGCTTAAGCGACAACCTCCGGTTCATCCTATTAATAGCAGTGCCCTCCAGGAGCCGCACCACCGGCTATAATAATAAAGCATACGATGTTTATTTCTGGACATAATGTTCCTCCTTTTGCGGCAGGCAGAGGCTGAGGCATGCTGCGTTGCCAAGGTTTTACAGGTCCCGGACTCTCCGTGCCACGGCAATGATTAACGCGGCGGCAGCGGCGCATGCCTGGTGCCGGCCATGGGGGATGCCCGCATGGCCCCTCGCCTCCCCGCATCCCGGGGTTGGTGGGAGCGAGAGGTTGCCTTGTCTTTGGATCGGCCACGCGCAGTGTTTGCATCCCAAATAGGGAGAGAAATCTGGGAAAGCCGCTGCTGCACCGGGATTTCTCCTGCCGGCGTGATGCCTCCGGCCGGGCGTCACTGGGAGGGCACCCATGGCTGCCCCAGCACCCAGCCTGGCACGCCACAGAAACCGTGCCCAAAAAGTGCTTTTCTTTGCAAAACCCTGTGTGCTGCCCCTGGGAGATGCCCCATGCCAGGGACCAGCCCCAAACCATACACCCCAGGGGCAGGGAACAATCAGTATCTTTGGGATTTGGGGAGAACAGGCTCCATTTTCCAAACTCCCAGTGTGACCATGGGCTCAACACTCCCCAAACCTCCCGAAAAGCAAATAAATAACCCCCCTCTCTCTTCCTATTTAGGCTGGGAGCAGCTGGAGGTCTCCCAGGACCTGCTCCAGAGCATCCCAAATTCCCGTAGCATCCTCCCACGGAGCACACACTGTTATGGGGCAGAGCGGATGCTTCCAGCGGGATTTTCCCCACTGCCGTCAGCAGCCACCAGCACACAAGTTTTCAGATCTGGCTTTTTCTTTTTCCCCCCCCACCTCGGCCATGGAAAGGCTCCCCGGATCGCCGGGTGCGTGGTTAACCAGTGGGGACATCGGTGGGAGGAAAGGGACTCGGCCAAGCCGTGAACACCATGGATTTAGGGAATAAAACCAGTCTCTAGCTGCTCCAGGTGGGTATTTCCCAGGAAATCTTAAGAACCAGATGGGCCAGGGATCGCTCTCCCCCCGCCTGACCCCCATGGCCCCTCCTGTGCTGCGTGCGGGAGTGGGTGGCCCGGCCCCGCGGCCACGTTTTGGCTCGGGGACGTTGGTTCTCCAGCTTTGCTGGTGCAGAAAATCACCCCAAAGCGTCCCCGGGCTCTGCCCCAGGGGCTGGGTGATGGGCATCGGGCAGGGACCGAGCTGGGGCCGAGCGGCCGCCCGGCTCCTTCCTCCTGGGAAAGCTCCGGTGGCTGTTTGCGAGCCTGGAAGCTGGGCTCCTGCCACGTTTCTGCTAAAAATGGCCATTTTTGGCCATTTTTGCAATTCAAAGGGAAATCAGCACAAGCAAGGTCGCTGGGCAGGGTGGACGGGGGAGCCTGCAGTCCACTGTGCCTCAGTTTCCCCAGCAGCCCAACCACGGCCCGTGTGTCCACGCAGCCCGGGTGGCTCCTGGGGACGGATCCGTGGCCATGTGTCCCAGCATGGGTGGGTGCTCCTGCACTCCCCAGCACCCCACTCCCCATGCAGGTTGATCCCCGGATACGTTTTTTGGGGAGCCCCCTGATCCCAGCAAACCCCACGACCAGCTCGCAGGGTCCGAATCAACCCTGGTGTTAGGGTCAGGGCGTAGGGACGGGGACGGACCCCGCGGTAGCTCATGGAAACACCAAACAGGGATGATTTACTCATCACCCCCCACCACCCCAGGGGATCCCACGTCCCACCGCCGGTCCCGTACCTGTCTCAGCAGTGTGCCCTCGTCCAGGGCGTCCTGCCGCTGCTGGGCGACGGTGACACCGAGCACCAGCGTGTGAACGCCGCAGGAGATGGCGGTGATGAGCACGATGGGCGCCAACCGCAACGGCAGCGTGATGAAGAAGGAGAAGACGAAGAAAGCCTGCCAACCCACCGTATCGCTGGCCTCGGGCGAGCGGGAGAAGTTGAGACCCAGGTAGCAGAAGATCTGGGCCAAGATGAGGACCCAGAGGACGTAGGGCAGGAACCTGCGGGTCGCCCGCTCGGGGAGCAGCTTGTACTTGCAGAGGATGAAGAGCAGCACATGGGCGACCAGCCCGGCCGCCGCCGCCAACACTGGGGCCAGCTTGTCAGCGGCGTAGACCACGGCGCACATGACGAGGACGTAGCAATCAAAGAGGGCAGCGAAGACCACCAGCACCAGGAGGGTCTCGTGGCGTTGGCGACGGAAATAGGTCTGGTAGAGGTTCTCCAGGGATTCGGGAGCGAAGGTGAGGCGCATGAAGCGGGGGAGGCAGAGGCAGGGTCCCGAGCTGCGCACCGTCACCTCGTGGGTCCGACCCACGCCGTGCTCGGGGTCCGAGGGCAGGCTCACCGAGTAGTCGGCGGAGTACTCGGCTGAGCACTCGGGCTCCGAAAAAGCCCTGTTCCTGGGCATCGCGGCGCTTTCCCCTGCTCCGGCCCCACAGAAACGTCGCTGTCCCCCGCGCCCCGATGCTCACCGGGGCATCGCCCGCACCATCCCCGTCTCGCCGGCCGCCGAGCCACGAGGCCTTTTCCCCTTCTCCTGCAGCCGTAACCCCGAATCCCGCTGCGTGCTGAGGAGCGGCCGAAGGATGGAAAGGGGGATAATTATAAATAACCGCCGGCGTGGCGCGGGGAGGCCGGGAGCCGAGCCAGCCTGCCTCCCCAGCTCCCTGCCAGCTCTCTCCCCAGCCCTTGCGCACTGCCAGGTTGCAACCGAAGCGACGCGGAGCAGAAAGATGTCGCGATGCCTCCCTGCCCCTCCTTCGAGGGCAACCGGTTTGGGGGGCGATCCCCACCGCTCCTCCGGTCTTTGCCCCCTTTCCGAGACGCCTTGTTCCACGGGGAGGGATGGAGGGATGGACGGATGGATGGACGGATGGATGGATGGACGGATGGAGAAGGGCCGGGGGGGGGAGCCGGGAGGGAGCCCAGGGGCTCTGCAGCCCGGGGATGCGCTTCGCTTGGCCCGGTTGCCTCCAGCATCCTCCGGCGG